ATGCTCTTCGTCTCCTGCTTTCTCGTTGTTATTCTTCCTTTGTGGTTGTTGTTGACTCTCGTAGTGCCCTCATGGCTCTCGGGTCCTTTAATCCGGTTCATCCAGTAGTTGTCGAGATCCAGCATTGGCTGTTTCTCGTTCACAGTAAATTTAAGTCGGTTGAGTTTTGTTTGGTTCCCAGCCATATTGGTGTGTCTTTAAATGAGCGTGCGGATGCTGCCGCTAAGGAAGCTGTCCGCTCTTGTCCCATCTCTCGTAAAGGCATTCCGTATTCCGACTTTTACCCGGTTATCCTTTCCTCAGTCCTTACCCGTTGGCAGGCTTCTTGGTTGTCTGTTACTGGTAACAAGCTACGTACTCTTAAATGTTGTATTTCCTCGTGGCCGTCCTCCTTCCACCGTAACCGGCGGTGGGAAACAGCTCTGGCGAGGTTGCGTATTGGCCATACTCGCTTAACCCATGGTCACTTGATGTTGATGAAGCGCCGCCCTGCTCCTTATTGTCCTAGTTGCATTGTCCCTCTTACAGTCGTGCATGTCCTTCTTGAATGTCCTGACTTCCAGGACGAGCGTGTGTCTTGCTTTCCGACCGTTCCTCGCGGTCGCTTGTCACTCGATAGAATTCTTGGTGAATCGGGTACTTTTGATATCGTTCGCCTTATACATTTCTGTTCTCGTATTGGCATCCTTGGTGATATTTAGCGCCTTCTGATTATTCTACACATTTGATGGTGCTACACAGCCTTCCCGGTTTGGTGCCTTCTATTGATAATTACTTACTTCCCTAGGGTTGCATAGGTCACCCCAGCTCCTCTAGGGTTGCATAGGTCACCCCAGCTCCTCTAGGGTTGCATAGGTCACCCCAGCTCCTCTAGGGTAGAGTAGGTCACCCCAGCTCCTCTAGGGTAGAGTAGGTCACTCCAGCTTCCCTAGGGTAGAGTAGGTCACTCCAGCTCCTCTAGGGTAGAGTAGGTCACTCCAGCTCCCCTAGGGTAGAGTAGGTCACTCCAGCTTCCCTAGGGTAGAGTAGGTCTCTCCAGCTCCCCTAGGGTAGAGTAGGTCACTCCAGCTCCCCTAGGGTAGAGTAGGTCACTCCAGCTCCCCTACGGTAGAGTAGGTCACTCCAGCTCCCCTACGGTAGAGTAGGTCACTCCAGCTCCCCTACGGTAGAGTAGGTCACTCCAGCTCCCCTACGGTAAAGTAGGTCACTCCAGCTCCCCTACAGTAGAGTAGGTCACTTCAGCTCCCCTAGGGTAGCAACCCGTTCTCGCACTTGTTTATAGTAAATATTTGGCTTATTAATAAGTCCCTATGTGACATACTAATATATTGTGAATATTTGAGTTTACGTTGAAAAGCTGAAAAGAAAACACTGACCTAACCTAACATTCATAATATGTTAATATAAGCATTTTATTGCTTCTTAATTACAATTAGTACTTAACCTATACCTATATTGATCTTATAGTTTTATAAAAATAATAAAACAAAACTAAAATATTTAAATAAATTGTAAAGTAGTTCAGGATATTGTCAATTTTTTTATAACATCTCTATTGTTTAATAAAAGTGAAAAAGATATTTCTAATATTGAAACTGGTGTATAGTAAATTTATAGTAAGAGTTAATACCTTGAAAACAAAATATAACTTGAAATATACCACATATGTACTGATTAATAAGTCAAGTATTGACTATAAGCAATAAGGCATATATGTACTGTCTTGTGTGAGAGCGGGTTTAGGGTAGAGTAGGTCACTCCAGCTGCCCCTAGGGTAGAGTAGGTCACTCAAGCTCCCGTAGGGTAGAGTAGGTCATTCCAGCTCCCGTAGGGTAGAGTAGGTCACTCCAGCTGCCCCTAGGGTAGAGTAGGTCACTCCAGCTGCCCCTAGGGTAGAGTAGGTCACTCAAGCTCCTCTAGGGTAGAGTAGGTCATTCCAGCTCCCGTAGGGTAGAGTAGGTCACTCCAGCTGCCCCTAGGGTAGAGTAGGTCACTCCAGCTCCCCTAGGGTAGAGTAGGTCACTCCAGCTCCCCTAGGGTAGAGTAGGTCACTCCAGCTCCCCTAGGGTAGAGTAGGTCACTCCAGCTCCCCTAGGGTAGAGTAGGTCACACCAGCTGCCCCTAGGGTAGAGTAGGTCACTCCAGCTCCTCTAGGGTAGAGTGGGTCACTCCAGCTCCTTTAGGGTAGAGTAGGTCACTCCAGCTCCCCTAGGGTAGAGTAGGTCACTCCAGCTCCCCTAGGGTAGAGTAGGTCACTCCAGCTGCTCCTAGGGTAGAGTAGGTCACTCCAGCTCCCGTAGGGTAGAGTAGGTCACTCCAGCTCCCCTAGGGTAGAGTAGGTCACTCCAGCTCCCCTAGGGTAGAGTAGGTCACTCCAGCTGCCCCTAGGGCAAAGTAGGTCACTCCAGCTGCCCCTAGGGCAGAGTAGGTCACTCCAGCTCCCGTAGGGTAGAGTAGGTCACTCCAGCTCCTTTAGGGTAGAGTAGGTCACTCCAGCTCCCCTAGGGTAGAGTAGGTCACACCAGCTGCCCCTAGGGTAGAGTAGGTCACACCAGCTCCCCTAGGGTAGAGTAGGTCACACCAGCTGCCCCTAGGGTAGAGTAGGTCGCTCCAGCTCCTTTAGGGTAGAGTAGGTCACTCCAGCTCCTTTAGGGTAGAGTAGGTCACTCCAGCTCCCCTAGGGTAGAGTAGGTCACTCCAGCTCCCCTAGGGTAGAGTAGGTCACTCCAGCTCCCCTAGGGTAGAGTAGGTCACTCCAGCTCCCCTAGGGTAGAGTAGGTCACTCCAGCTCCTCTAGGGTAGAGTAGGTCACTCCAGCTCTTTTAGGGTAGAGTAGGTCACTCCAGCTCCCCTAGGGTAGAGTAGGTCACTCCAGCTCCCCTAGGGTAGAGTAGGTCACTCCAGCTCCTTTAGGGTAGAGTAGGTCACTCCAGCTCCTTTAGGGTAGAGTAGGTCACTCCAGCTCCTTTAGGGTAGAGTAGGTCACTCCAGCACCTTTAGGGTAGAGTAGGTCACTCCAGCTCCCCTAGGGTAGAGTAGGTCACTCCAGCTCCCCTAGGGTAGAGTAGGTCACTCCAGCTCCTCTAGGGTAGAGTAGGTCACTCCAGCTCCCCTAGGGTAGAGTAGGTCACTCCAGCTCCCCTAGGGTAGAGTAGGTCACTCCAGCTCCCCTAGGGTAGAGTAGGTCACTCCAGCTCCCCTAGGGTAGAGTAGGTCACACCAGCTGCCCTAGGGTAGAGTAGGTCACACCAGCTGCCCCTAGGGTAGAGTAGGTCACTCCAGCTCCCCTAGGGTAGAGTAGGTCACTCCAGCTCCCCTAGGGTAGAGTAGGTCACACCAGCTGCCCCTAGGGTAGAGTAGGTCACTCCAGCTCCCCTAGGGTAGAGTAGGTCACTCCAGCTCCCCTAGGGTAGAGTAGGTCACTCCAGCTCCCCTAGGGTAGAGTAGGTCACTCCAGCTCCCCTAGGGTAGAGTAGGTCACTCCAGCTGCCCTTGGGTAGAGTAGGTCACTCCAGCTGCCCTAGGGTAGAGTAGGTCCTTCCTACTCTACCCTAGAGGAGTAGGAAGGAACACACAGTAACACACAACAACACACAGTAACACACAGTAACACACAGTAACACACAGTAACACACAACAACACACAGTAACACACAGTAACACACAGCAACACACAGTAACACACAGTAACACACAGTAACACACAGTAACACACAACAACACACAGTAACACACAGCAACACACAGTAACACACAGTAACACACAGTAACACACAGTAACACACAGTAACACACAACAACACACAGTAACACACAGTAACACACAGTAACACACAGTAACACACAGTAACACACAGTAACACACAGTAACACACAGTAACACACAGTAACACACAGTAACACACAGTAACACACAGTAACACACAGTAACACACAGTAACACACAGTAACACACAACAACACACAGCAACACACAGCAACACACAGCAACACACAGCAACACACAGTAACACACAGTAACACACAACAACACACAACAACACACAACAACACACAACAACACAACACACAGTAACACACAGTAACACACAGTAACACACAGTAACACACAGCAACACACAGTAACACACAGCAACACACAACAACACACAGTAACACACAGCAACACACAGCAACACACAGCAACACACCACACAACACTAATCAGTGGCAGTGACGCAACACACCCGAGAGTGACAACAGTTGGGCAGAGTTCATTCTCTGTACTGACAACATTCTTCCTTGTGGTGAGTAAACATAAATATTGGTACTTAAGACAACTGAGCAAACACTTACCAGCAGGAAGGTGAGAGTGCGAGGGTGAGTGCGAGGGTGAGTGCGACAGACAGAGAGTGAGAGAGAGTGCGAAGGAGAGAGAGTAGGATGAAGAGAGAGTGCGAGAGCAAACATACACACTCCCACATATCACTAGTCTGATATTTCACTGTTTGTAGACTCACCGTTTTAAAATTGCCGGACTGAGGAAGGGAAGGAGTAAGGGGAAGAGGGAAGGTGAGAGGGGAAGGGAAGGAGTAAGGGGAAGAGGGAAGGTGAGAGGGGAAGGGAAGGGGGAAGGGGAAGAGGGAAGGTGAGAGGGGAAGGGGAGGGGGAAGGGTAAGAGGGTAGGTGAGAGGGGAGGGGGAAGGGGAAGAGGGAAGGTGAGAGGGGAAGGGAAGGGGGAAGGGGAAGAGGGAAGGTGAGAGGGGAAGGGGAGGGGGAAGGGGAAGAGGGAAGGTGAGAGGGGAAGGGGAGGGACACGAGGGGAGATGAGTCTCAGGTGACTTCTTTTAATCACGTTTTCAAGACGTCAGTTTCAGCGCATCTCTGAGGTGCTGAGCATGGTCATGTGAAGTGTGGGGGTGCTGAGCATGGTCATGTGAAGTGTGGGGGTGCTGAGCATGGTCATGTGAAGTGTAGGGTGCTGAGCATGGTCATGGGAAGTATGGGGGTGCTGAGCATGGTCATGTGAAGTGTATGGTGCTGAGCATGGTCATGTGAAGTATGGGGGTGCTGAGCATGGTCATGTGAAGTGTGGGGGTGCTGAGCATGGTCATGTGAAGTGTGGGGGTGCTGAGCATGGTCATGTGAAGTGTGGGGGTGCTGAGCATGGTCATGTGAAGTGTGGGGGTGCTGAGCATGGTCATAGGAAGTGTGGGGGTGTTGAGCATGGTCATAGGAAGTGTGGGGGTGCTGAGCATGGTCATAGGAAGTGTGGGGGTGCTGAGCATGGTCATAGGAAGTGGGGGGGTGCTGAGCATGGTCATGTGAAGTGTGGGGGTGCTGAGCATGGTCATGTGAAGTGTGGGGGTGCTGAGCATGGTCATGGGAAGTGTGGGGGTGCTGAGCATGGTCATGTGAAGTGTGGGGGTGCTGAGCATGGTCATAGGAAGTGTGGGGGTGTTGAGCATGGTCATAGGAAGTGTGGGGGTGCTGAGCATGGTCATAGGAAGTGTGGGGGTGCTGAGCATGGTCATTGGAAGTGTGGGGGTGCTGAGCATGGTCATGTGAAGTGTGGGGGTGCTGAGCATGGTCATGTGAAGTATGGGGGTGCTGAGCATGGTCATGGGAAGTATGGGGGTGCTGAGCATGGTCATGTGAAGTGTGGGGGTGCTGAGCATGGTCATGTGAAGTGTGGGGGTGCTGAGCATGGTCATGTGAAGTGTGGGGGTGCTGAGCATGGTCATGTGAAGTGTGGGGGTGCTGAGCATGGTCATGTGAAGTGTGGGGGTGCTGAGCATGGTCATGTGAAGTGTGGGGGTGCTGAGCATGGTCATGGGAAGTGTGGGGGTGCTGAGCATGGTCATGGGAAGTGTGGGGGTGCTGAGCATGGTCATGGGAAGTATGGGGGTGCTGAGCATGGTCATGGGAAGTATGGGGGTGCTGAGCATGGTCATGTGAAGTGTGGGGGTGCTGAGCATGGTCATGGGAAGTGTGGGGGTGCTGAGCATGGTCATGGGAAGTGTGGGGGTGCTGAGCATGGTCATGGGAAGTATGGGGGTGCTGAGCATGGTCATGGGAAGTGTGGGGGTGCTGAGCATGGTCATGGGAAGTATGGGGGTGCTGAGCATGGTCATGTGAAGTGTGGGGGTGCTGAGCATGGTCATGTGAAGTGTGGGGGTGCTGAGCATGGTCATGTGAAGTGTGGGGTGCTGAGCATGGTCATGTGAAGTGTGGGGGTGCTGAGCATGGTCATGTGAAGTGTGGGGGTGCTGAGCATGGTCATGGGAAGTATGGGGGTGCTGAGCATGGTCATGTGAAGTGTGGGGGTGCTGAGCATGGTCATGGGAAGTGTGGGGGTGCTGAGCATGGTCATGTGAAGTATGGGGGTGCTGAGCATGGTCATGTGAAGTGTGGGGTGCTGAGCATGGTCATGTGAAGTGTGGGGGTGCTGTGCATGGTCATGTGAAGTGTGGGGGTTCTGAGCATAGTTATGGGAAGTGCGGGGGTGCTGTGCATGGTCATGGGAAGTGTGGGGGTGCTGAGCATGGTCATGTGAAGTGTGGGGGTGCTGAGCATGGTCATGTGAAGTGTGGGGGTGCTGAGCATGGTCATGTGAAGTGTGGGGGTGCTGAGCATGGTCATGTGAAGTATGGGGGTGCTGAGCATAGTCATGGGAAGTGTGGGGGTGCTGTGCATAGCTGTGGACACTCAGGGAAGCCATGCTATTAAAACTGTAATTAGAAGCAGAATATAGTCGTTGCAGTAGAAGGCTGGCGTTTAGGAGTGTGGGGCCCAAGAGCTGAAGCTCAGCAACACAAACACGGGCGATCAACACATTTCAACACATGGACACAACGCGCACAGAGAGCTCTTAGCGAGGGTCTCGGGTGGGGGGAAGGAGGAGGTGTTGAACATGCAAATGAGTCAAACAGCCCCTGGGTGGAAGGAGTGGGGGGCCCTTTGGGGGGGGGGAGAGGGAGTGGGAAGCCCCTTGGGGGGGAGAAGAGGGAGTGGGAAGCCCCTTGGGGAGGAGAAGAGGGGGTGGGACGCCCCTGGGAGGAGGGAGAGGGACGCCCCTGGGAGGAGGGAGAGGGAGTGGGACGCCCCTGGGAGGAGGGAGAGGGAGTGGGACGCCCCTGGGAGGAGGGAGAGGGAGTGGGACGCCCCTGGGAGGAGGGAGAGGGGGTGGGACGCCCCTGGGAGGAGGGAGAGGGACGCCCCTGGGAGGAGGGAGAGGGGGTGGGACGCCCTTAGGAGGAGGGAGAGGGGATGGGACGCCCTTGGGAGGAGGGAGAGGGAGTGGGACGCCCCTGGGAGGAGGGAGAGGGAGTGGGACGCCCCTGAAAGGAGGAAGAGGGGGTGGGACGCCCCTGGGAGGAGGGAGAGGGGGTGGGGACGCCCCTGGGAGGAGGGAGAGGGGGTGGAACGCCCTTGGGAGGAGGGAGAGGGAGTGGGACGCCCCTGAAAGGAGGGAGAGGGGAGTGGGATGCCCCTGGGAGGAGGGAGTGGGACGCCCCTGGGAGAAGGGAGAGGGAGTGGGACGCCCCTGAAAGGAGGGAGAGGGGGTGGGACGCCCCTGGGAGGAGGGAGAGGGAGTGGGACGCCCCTGGGAGGAGGGAGAGGGAGTGGGACGCCCCTGGGAGGAGGGAGAGGGGGTGGGACGCCCCTGGGAGGAGGGAGAGGGGGTGGGACGCCCCTGGGAGGAGGGAGAGGGGGTGGGACGCCCCTGGGAGGAGGGAGAGGGGGTGGGACGCCCCTGGGAGGAGGGAGAGGGGGTGGGACGCCCCTGGGAGGAGGGAGAGGGGGTGGGACGCCCCTGGGAGGAGGGAGAGGGACGCTCCTGGGAGGAGGGAGAGGGACGCCCCTGGGAGGAGGGAGAGGGAGTGGGACGCCCCTGGGCGGACAGAGAGGGGGTGGGATGCCCCTGGGAGGACAGAGAGGGGGTGGGACGCCCCTGGGAGGACAGAGAGGGGGTGGGACGCCCCTGGGTGGAGGGAGAGGGAGTGGGACGCCCCTGGGAGAAGAGAGAGGGGGTGGGACGCCCCTGGGAGGAGGGAGAGGGGGTGGGACGCCCCTGGGAGGAGGGAGAGGGGGTGGGACGCCCCTGGGAGGAGGGAGAGGGACGCCCCTGGGAGGGGGAGAGGGACGCCCCTGGGAGGAGGGAGAGGGACGCCCCTGGGAGGAGGGAGAGGGGGTGGGACGCCCCTGGGAGGAGGGAGAGGGGGTGGGACGCCCCTGGGAGGAGGGAGAGGGGGTGGGACGCCCCTGGGAGAAGAGAGAGGGAGTGCGACGCCCCTGGGAGAAGAGAGAGGGAGTGCGACGCTCCTGGGAGGAGAGAGAGGGAGTGCGACGCCCCTGGGTGGAATGAGAGGGACGCACCTGGGAGAAGAGAGAGGGAGTGCGACGCCCCTGGGAGAAGAGAGAGGGGGTGGGACGCCCCCGGGTGGAGGGAGAGGGAGTGGGACGCACCAGGGAGAAGATAGAGGGGGTGGGACGCCCCTGGGAGAAGAGAGAGGGGGTGGGACGCCCCTGGGAGAAGAGAGAGGGAGTGCGACGCCCCTGGGAGAAGAGAGAGGGAGTGCGACGCCCCTGGGAGGACAGAGAGGTGGTGGGACGCCCCATGGGAGGACAGAGAGGGGGTGGGACGCCCCCTGGGAGGACTGAGAGGGGGTGGTACACCCACCCGTCCTCGACTCAAGTCCATTCCATCCAGCGGTCGACCCCAGAGACGCATTCATAAATTTTAACATGCTGTTCATTCAAAACGGGAATTTTCGCAAGTATAAATTAATATTATATTATATTAGCATATTGGTCATATATAGGCATAGGTTAGGTTAGGTGTTTAGATTCTGTTGGCGATTATTTGTATTTGTAGTACGTGGGTGAAGCATTTATAGCTTTGTGATTCGAACAAAATTCGTCAGTGAAGCACTTGTTCCGGATATGTTCGAACGTCAGCAGTTGTGAGTCGTGTGTAAACCGCTTTTCATCGATAAACAGGGGAGTTGGCGGGTGCATGGAATCACTTTTGGTCTACGTTTGGAGGACTGACTGGCGGTTACACCGGCGTAGGCACTATACGACGAGAGATATGAGTGGGTAAAGTGGCAAGGTCGTGGCCAATCAGCGATCATCTTGCTGTAACGTCATCTGTGAGCATCGAGACAGCACATTGGCGGGCGCGTCAGTGACCTCACGGCTGTGCACAAGGGCGGACAATGCGCGCGCGCTCCAGGAAAACGTCGCCAGTTCCGAGATTTGTGTAGCAAGTTGACCTTACCTGAGAGAACAAGAGTAATATGACCACACGAGGAGCGACTGGCTACCTTTTGGCCAAGGTAGAATACCTGGAGGTGGACCAGTGAAGCCCATCAGGACGCCCTCGGTCAACACTGGCAGTCCAGAGTCAGTAGGTGGAGTCCACCAGGGTGATCTACACAACACGGCCACAGTGAGGAGAGCCTCCAACCTCTCACAAGGGCGACCGGTAAGTGTAGCAACAGTTAACGTGAGCCCAACCACTTGGGCTGGACGGTAGAGCGACGATCTTGCTTCATGTAGGTCGGCGTTCAATCCCCAGACCAAGTGGTTGGGCACCATTCCTTTGTCCCCGTCTCATCCTTATCCAGACACCTTCAAGGGCTAAATAACCGTAATAGGTTTGCGCTTTCTCCTGATAACTCCCCCCCCCCCCTCTCTCCCTTCCTCCTGAACACCGTCATTCTTGTGATGTTTTTATTTTTCCAATCCCAAAATACGTCCCTGTACTGTGTGGTGGTCCCTGTACTGTGTGGTGGTCCCTGTACTGTGTGATTGTCCCTGTACTATGTGGTGGTCCCTGTACTGTGTGGTGGTGGTCCCTGTACTGTGTGGTGGTGGTCCCTGTACTGTGTGGTGGTGGTCCCTGTACTGTGTGGTGGTGGTCCCTGTACTGTGTGGTGGTGGTCCCTGTACTGTGTGGTGGTGGTCCCTGTACTGTGTGGTGGTGGTCCCTGTACTGTGTGGTGGTGGTCCCTGTACTGTGTGGTGGTGGTCCCTGTACTGTGTGGTGGTGGTCCCTGTACTGTGTGGTGGTGGTCCCTGTACTGTGTGGTGGTGTGGTGTGGTCCCTGTACTGTGTGGTGGTGGTCCCTGTACTGTGTGGTGGTGGTCCCTGTACTGTGTGGTGGTGGTGGTCCCTGTACTGTGTGGTGGTGGTGGTCCCTGTACTGTGTGGTGGTGGTGGTCCCTGTACTGTGTGGTGGTGGTGGTCCCTGTACTGTGTGGTGGTGGTGGTCCCTGTACTGTGTGGTGGTGGTGGTCCCTGTACTGTGTGGTGGTGGTCCCTGTACTGTGTGGTGGTGGTCCCTGTACTGTGTGGTGGTGGTCCCTGTACTGTGTGGTGGTGGTCCCTGTACTGTGTGGTGGTGGTCCCTGTACTGTGTGGTGGTGGTCCCTGTACTGTGTGGTGGTGGTCCCTGTACTGTGTGGTGGTGGTCCCTGTACTGTGTGGTGGTGGTCCCTGTACTGTGTGGTGGTGGTGGTCCCTGTACTGTGTGGTGGTGGTGGTCCCTGTACTGTGTGGTGGTGGTGGTCCCTGTACTGTGTGGTGGTGGTGGTCCCTGTACTGTGTGGTGGTGGTGGTCCCTGTACTGTGTGGTGGTGGTGGTCCCTGTACTGTGTGGTGGTGGTGGTGGTCCCTGTACTGTGTGGTTGTGGTCCCTGTACTGTGTGGTTGTGGTCCCTGTACTGTGTGGTGGTGGTCCCTGTACTGTGTGGTGGTGGTCCCTGTACTGTGTGGTGGTGGTCCCTGTACTGTGTGGTGGTGGTCCCTGCACTGTGTGGTGGTGGTCCCTGTACTGTGTGGTGGTCCTTGTACTGTGTGGTGGTGGTCCCTGTACTGTGGTGGTGGTGGAGGTCCCTGTACTGTGTGGTGGTGGTCTCTGTACTGTGTGGTGGTAGTCTCTGTACTGTGTGGTGGTGGTCCCTGTACTGTGTGGTGGTCGTCCTTGTACTGTGTGGTGGTGGTAGTCCCTGTACTGTGTGGTGGTCCCTGTACTGTCTGGTGGTGGTGGTCCTTGTACTGTGTGGTGGTGGTGGTCCCTGTACTGTGTGGTGGTGGAGGTCCTTGTACTGTGTGGTGGTCCCTGTAATGTGTGGTGGTCCCTGTACTGTGTGGTGGTGGTGGTCCTGGTACTGTGTGGTG